CTTGGATTCCATTGTATGAGGACAACCAGGAGGGTGCTGGATTTGCTCATGGTCACAGGCATGGCTAGCTGGTGGCACCTTGTCCTGGGCTCTCAGTGCATTCTGCATGGTGCTAGGCTGCACGGAGCTCTGCCTTCCCCCAGCTTCAAGTGGGCTGGTTTGACCTGCATCTTGTCTTTGCAGTGTGAGACATCCCTGGAGGGAGAGGCAGGGCTCTGCTGGTGCGTCTACCCTTGGAATGGGAAGAAGATTCCAGGATCCTTGGAGATCAGAGGGGACCCCAACTGTCATCAGTACTTTAACTTGCAAAACTGAGAATAGCTGCATTACGATGTCTCCCTTCAAGTGAACTATTTAAGTATATAGTATATTTATACTCTAGAACAAGCACACACTTATATATATATGTGTATGTATATATATAGGAACTACTTTTTATAGTCCACATATTACTTGACATATAAATCTGTAGTTTATTTATTCACTCTAAGTTTATTTTTTTTCTACACAGTAACTTGTGCTATATTAATTTATATATCATGGAATGCTTCTCATCATGTTGTATGTAAATACTTGTATTTTAGCTCATCAAAGGTTCTGGCTTCTGTTTTTAAAGAATATGGGAAAATCCTACCTACAAAATGCAACATCAAATGTGTAGCAGTGAATGTGTTCAAGTGACTTAACGGAGGACAGTTAAACTGAGCTTAAGGGTGACTCATTCTGCATCCATAAGACCTGAGTTTGGTGTAAATTTGCAGGGAAAGTTAAATGGTGATTATGCAATCAGGGCTAAATGTTGTGGTGTTGCTACATGTTCAAATAGGCATTGGATATATTGTCAAACACACAGAGCACGATGTAAACATATTGGAATAAATATTCCAGGTGGAAACAGTGCAACTCCTGTGGACATTTTTGTTTCTGAAATCTTGCCCTTCCCTTTCTCTCTCCTCCCTCCTCCCCCCTTCTCTCCTCCCTGCCCCTCATCCCTCCCTTCCTCTCCCCTGTGCAGCTTTGGTACTTCAGCTCTGCAGGCTCTGTGTCCTCACCTGCCTCAGCTCTGCCCTGCAAAAGCAGGTTCCCTTGCCCAGGCTGAGCCCACTCCCTCCTCCTGGGGCTATACCTCCTGACCCACCCACCTCTCCTCCCTGCTTCCCCTGGCCCATCCCCTGCAGGCTAGACCTTCCTCAAGGTCTGCACGCTGCTGGTGCCTTCCATTTGGGTGGCTGAACCCTGAGCACATGGGCCCTCTCTGCACCTGGGATCTTTTCTTCCTTAAACTATTTCCTGCTACCATTTCCTGGTGCTGCCCAACTCTCGCCTGCTCTGTGGACTGCTCCTCCACATCTCTCACTGGGTGGGCATCTCATCCCAGTGGACCCCACCTGGCTTATTACTGCCTCCAGCTCCCTCTGCTGGACACCCCTAACCTGGGCCCTGGGAAAAAGCCCAGCCTCACACTGCTAGCCAAGTGTGCTGGGGCCCCACACCCTCTCCCCAGTCGGGGCTCCAGTTCACTGTCTTGAGCCTCCCTGCTTCACCCTCCAGCCCCATGGCTGCTATTTTCCTGCTGCCAAGCTCCCAGAAACCTCCTGTGAGCTCAGCATTCAATATCGTAGTATCTTAACAATACGGACACAAAAGCCTCAACAAAATACTAGCAAATGGAATCCATCAACACATTAAAATAATCACACACCATGATCAAGTGGGATTTATCTCAGGCATGCAAGGTTGTTTTAACATCTGAAAGTCAATGAATATAATAAATCATATAAATAGACTAAAAAAACCAAGTCACATGATAGTCTCAACAGACTCAGAAAAAAACATTTGGTAATATCCAACACTCTTTCAAGATAAAAAAAAAAATCAAACCCAAACTCAACAGACTAAGAATTGAAGGAAACTTCCTCAAGTTGACAAACAGCATCTAGGAAGCCCCACGGCTAACATCATACGTAAGTGGATGTTTTTCCCCAAAGATCAGAAACAAGACAAGCACGCGTGCTCCACTACTGTTACTGCTACTCAGCATGTGCTGAAGGACCTATCAAATAGGCAAGAAAACCAATACAAGGCTTTCAGATAAAGGCAGTAGATGGCATGACCTTATATATAGAAAATC